GGGGGGACTGCATGTGTATGCAGGGGCGGCTGATAGGGAGGGGGTGCTTTACTCAGCCTTATATTATGTTTATCTGTCTATTTCATATATATGCAAATAGGTCTGGCCTGATCTACAAAGCATGACCCTGCCTGGAGAAGAAGCCTTTGAATTTGCCAGTGAGATGGGAGAAGGTGGAGATGCAGGGGGAGACAGAGAGAGAGAGAGAGAGAGAGGGAGAGAGAGAGAGAGAGAGAGAGAGAGGGTGTTTTTTTCCTGCTATTTGTTAGGTGTTTTTATGCTGCTAATGTGTATTTCAGTCTTTCTGTGTTATATGAAAAAGGACCCCAACCATATTGAAGTAATAAGTCACAGAGCCCCCCCGTAATAAGCAGAGGGTGTGAGAGTCATGCAGGAGGTAGTGTGGAGCCTGGCTTTACTGTGCTGCAGTGCAAGTGGAAACCAGGTCTGCGGCAGTATACGTTACGGGCTCATGAATATTAACACCAGCCTCTGCACCGTCAGGCAGCAAACGGGACGCCCACGTTTCAGAAGATGCTGTTACGCGATGGGGCTAGGCAACAAGAGCCCCCCCCCCCCCCCCCCCCCGGGTCTCATCTCTTATTCAACAAGCCTTGGGAGTCAGTTACCCTGCATGAGATGAGATCTGGACACATATGTGTGCAAACACGCCATTCTTTACTGTTAAAACGCTCCTTTTAATGCTGAGTTTAGACACTACAAGGAGTGTACGTGTGCACATAAAACAATTTCTGTAAATCCAAACTGGAGAAAAAATTAGCTGGCAATTTACTTGTAGACCTTGTCCATGTTTAGCCCATGAACACCTCTAGCGGGCAGTGCAGGCAAGATCCAGCTTGCAGTACTCAGTATTGGTCTCTAGGGGGCAGTACAAAACATTGTGGCACACAGCAAGGCTTTGTTATGAGAATCTTGAATAATATTTGCAATGCCATTAAAATAAATTGCCAGACTAATTTCAGCATTGTTATGTGTTTATCTTCATATCTCTGGTTTATGCTGATAAATTGACTGATCTGTAAACCCTAATTCTGCAGACATAGCCCCCACAGTCGTTTCATCACCATTAATCTGAGCTGCATGAAAATCTGCCCCTCATCTGCCTGAGGCATTTGAAATTCATCTGCCATTTTTCTGAGCTTTCATGTCGCAAAGTGATAGTTGTTGGAGACCCTATCCCTACCCATAATCCTCAGCGAATAGAAAATAAGCAGTTTATAAAAAACTTAAGTGTGTAAAAAAATCAGTGGGGCAGCCTTTGGGGTATGACAGGGGGTGATGGCGTCTTTGAGCCATGTCCACTGCAGTGGTCACTAGTGCCTCTCCAAGCCGTCTCCGCCATGTCACCACCCACGCAGCCCTCCCTGCAGCTTCCATCAGAAGGTATCGTCTGTCATAAGGGTCACTGATGCACGCTGCCATCAAACCCGAGAACATTATGCAGATCGATACACTTTCCAAAACACCCCCACCCAACCCCCCCACCGCACCCTAACCCCCCTGGCAGAAGTCTCAGGTAACTGGGGAAACGGGGGCCTTGAAAAAGCCTCAGTCAACACAATCCGATCTGCTCCCAGCATGCACTTGTGTGTGTGTGTGGGGGGGGGCGTGCGCAAACACTGGAGGGCAACTGCATTGCTCTGCAGACACAATTAACTCCAGCAGGCCTCAGACCTATCAAAGCTATTCTGGACAAAATGGCCATGCGTGACTCCGTCTGGCTGTGGGGTGCCGTCCCCATTGTGCTGGTTCATGGTGCTTCGAGTTCAGCACAACAGCCGTTGTTTTTATCTAAGTACCAACCTTGTGACATGGCAGCTCTGTGAGTAACATGGTTGCCTCAAACCTCTGGGACTGGAAGCTCAAATTCTACCTCCACTTTTTCTGTGTGCAGTTTGCATGTTCTCCCAAACTCGTGTGAGTTTTCTCCAGGTACTCGTAATTTCTCCTGCAATCCAAGGACATGCAGCTCCGTTTATTGGCGCCTCTATTTTGCCCATAGTGTGTGTATGTGGCCTGTGATGCTCAGGAATTCAGATTCTCGAGAGCAGCAGGACCCGTACAGATTGGCTGCTGAGCCGTCACATGGTGGATGACACATGAATCTGTGATTTGCTACTGTTATAAACCCCACCCTCCCCCATGCGGTGATCCCTTTGCAATCTTGCGGTATTCAGCCCCACAATGTTTGGGACAGGTAGCGATTTCCTACTACTTTAGCATTTCTACAGCTTTTTTTCTCATCAGGACTAATTCCAGTTAGGAGATCCTCCCAGGACCTGATCCACTAACCTTCAGATTAGGAGTCAACGTGCTTAGGTGCTCCTGCTGGAAGGCGGAGAGGTGCTGAGCTGGCAGTGGGCGGTTAGCTGACAGCCACTGGGCCTGAGGGGCGCCTCCGATACACGCGGCCACGCCCCTCGCTATCACCCCATACCGCACGCCTCCCCACCTCCTCTCAGCGCCTCTCACCTGATGCTCCGTCACCTCCTCGTCTCTGTAATCAGAACGCTAACAAACAACCCCCCGAAACAGCTGCTGCTCCAGACCCAGGCAGACTCCAGTAATTCAGAACGACAGAACCCCATTTAGACAGAAGGGCCCAGTGGTCAGGTTCTTTCCGGATGACCTCAGATGGCAAATTTCATACGATACACATTTGGAATACAAAATGTATTCTCTTTGTTCTGACTGTTTTATTAAACACTTATTAGACAGGTTAGAATCTGCAGAAGTACCTGGAAATTTTTAATTGAAACTAAATGAGTTTCTGGCAAAGAAATACGTAAAAGGATACACAAAAGGATGACACTGATCCATAGATGATTTTGTATATGTGTGTGTGTGTATGTGCGAGCGGGTTTACCTATCCTTATGGGGACACAATGTTTCAACCGGTTTCCTGGTCCCCATAAGGGAAAACTCTATTTTATAAAAATCGGTGACTGCTATGAAAAAACTAAAAATGCAAAAACTCTTGTATTTTGTTTTGTTACTTATGGTTATGGTTAGGGCAGGGTAGGGGTTAAGGTTGTCATTGTTAGCGTTAGCATTTTTCCCATTGAAATGAATGAGCGGTCCCCATAAAGATATGCCTACCCTACATGTGCGCGCGCGTGTGTATGTGTGTGTTTATTAGTTTAAGGCCGGGGTCACCTTCCACTTTGAAAAACCTCTAAACTCCCTGAAGTCTCACCTCTGACTTCAGCCGAGAACTGGGCAGAGTGTCGGCTCACGAACAGCTGCAGCTGTTGGTTCAGGTCACAGGAAGTGAGGTCGACGTCCCAGGAGCGGATGCCTGTACAAGACAGGAGTGAGGAAGCTCTGTCAGGGGCACCAGATATTTTCTCCCCAGGAAAGAGGACAGACTGTCACGTGAAGAGGCTTTGTGCCACACTTGATGAGACAGCGTGCATCATGGGATTTGTTTACTTGGTCGACTGCTCTGAAAGTCGCCTGAATCACAAGAGACAGCAAAAAAGGAAGATTTCTATGTAAAACCCGGTGGATGATCTCTGTTACCTGTGGTCAGGCAACATCTTAGGCTTCCACGCTGCCCACAGATGAGTAACGGAGCTTAACTCAGCAATTTCTTATATTCTATATATTCTTATATATTTCTGTGGGTGCCACATTTTAATTCCAGTCCAAGCACTGTACTGCTTTGTTCCATAACAAAATCGCTTTAGTAAAATAACACATGTACTTTAAAATGAATATACTCTTTGTTATGTTAAGTTCTTTGTTGTTTTATTGAAAAGTGCTGTAACATATTTAAACACCGCCATTATACTTGTATTAATTGTCATTATTCATTTGGACTGATGTTGTACAAAAGAGAACACATTATATTTCAGTCAAGGGCGTAACTTTGGCTGGAACATTGGGGGGGTTGAGGTCTCCACCCATTACGTGGGAAACATGATTATTGGGGGGGTTGTATTAGCTGGTTTTGATTTATTGGGGGGGCTACAACCCCCCGTAATTTACACCCATGATTTCAGTAGAAAGACACATCTGCTCAACTGCTGTGAGAAGACAGGACCCAACATGGCTGCCGATGGCTGCCATCCGCAGGAATACCCTGGACCACTTTTTTTTCAGGACCACACAGGCAGCGCTGCGGGCAGCTAACAGACAGCGGTCACCCTTATGGACCTCAGTCACACGTGTGCTTTCTGGAAAGTCGATAAGTCAATAAGACTCCGTATGGCTATGCACATCTGTCCATTACCTTCTCAAACAGTCACAAGTGCCACTTAATAAAATCTCACACTTAAATATTGAACTTAGCGTTATCTGTGTAAAATAAGTCTGCTTATGGAAGCACTGTTTATTTTTTATCTTGTGTTACGGGAGGTTATGTTCTAGTGAAACACAATAATCGATCCTTCAGCTTGAGCTGCCTTTGTTTATGCTTCAGTTGATCTCTTTTTGTTCGCCAGGAATGTTCTGATGTCAGCCGGTTTCCATACCAGACTCTGTCCTCATCATTCCGTCTTTGTCCACCCTGAGAAGGGGGATGGGGGAGTTTCAGCAGGGCATGAGGGCTCGGTTATTGAGTTCGGGTCCATGCCGTATCTGTGGCTGGCTACTTCCTGTCATCAATCCCCAAAAGGCATCAAAGCACCAAGGATCCTATTCCCTAGGATGCCACCCCCCCCACGGTCGTTCTTCACGGCTCCCTTCACGGAGGACGTTACCTTGGCAGAAACCTACTAGTTTAAACTCAAGGGCCATGGACAGATGGATCTGATAATCATGTGTTTTTAACAACCCATCGACACGCAGGAATGCCGGCTTCTGCACGCTTACCGTGGGCAACAAGAATTCCCCTGACTAAGCATGCGATGGTGCTACTAATTAATAATCCCCCAGTGTTTTTTACACTGGGACTTATGAACGTGATTTAATTCAGTTTATCTAAGACAGGTATCACTGAAGTCAATGCAGTTTTGTCAATGTTGAACCGAGAGGCCAAATTAGAGCTTAAAAAGGGAAGCTGCACTGAATTCACAAGCTTCAGCTGTGATAACCTGGGGGACCCAGACTGCATTACTCTGCATGCTTACTAAAGCCTCCCGTAAGCCCACAGCATTACCTACAGCAGGGCTCTTCAAATCTGGACCTCGATTTTAAATCCAGGCCTTGTTTTCAGTTCTCCCAGGTAGGTAGTTTAATAATTACTGATTCTGATTGGCCAGAGACTTCACACCCGTCTCATAGGTAAAGGAAGGCTGGAAAATCAGCAGTGCTCAGACCTTGAGGACCGTGATTTGATTAGCCCTGACCTATAGGCAGACACAAAGTGACAGAGCGCCCCCTGGGGGCCTAGCTCGGGGCCTCTCACACCAGCATGGCATGACAATGCCCTTGAACATGGGTATATCGCATGCTTTGTTTATGTAGAAGAAACCCAAGAGGTGCCAGGCTTGCACGGAAAAAATTATTCAGGAAGTGTGTAACGTTATTCGCTGACATTGAGGAGTAAGGAGGCCCTGGTGCTGACAGACTGCTGATAATCTGCTTCGGGAAACAGAGGCGTGATTCTCTCAAATCCCAGACATTCCCGTGTCGTTCCTCCACGGCCCTATAGGTCAGAGACAGAGGTCTGGGGCTTCCAAGCATATAACTAGTTATCTGTTATCCATACCACACATGGCATTATGGTCCATCTTAATGAAGCTGGACACACAAACAGGGACGCCACTGTTAAACCTGTCACAGGACAAGAAAGAGGTGTCAGCAGAATTATGAGTCCTAAACACTGTTGTGTCCCTGAGTGTGTAACATCAGCGTAGCCGATAAAGTGCTCCATTCTCAGCGATCTGATGACTCGCTCCTGACACGACCAGCGCGCGTGCGAAGAAAGAGCCGTTTGTCTTCTGATGAAGGAAAGCATTATTGGGAGGGGAGTCCTTGGGGAGGGCCGGCCGTGTTTTAAATCCGCAGGGGGGGCACAGGGAGCGCAGAGCCAGCACGCCCTGGCGTGGGGGTTGGGGGGGGGGTGATCCATCAGAGGACCATCCTGTGGCAGGACAGGAGCCAGTCTGCTGACGCTGCATTAGAAGGCCCAGCTGCTACAGCACCCCCTCTCCTTACCCCCCAGCGCTGGAGGACACAGACAGAGTGCAGCTCTCCTCCATCTTGTTCACATATTACCATGGTAACACGGTATTGCCGGGTTGTAATTTGCAGCCAAAATGCAAACCCACTGCCATTTTCTCTATGTATCCCCCCCCCCCCCTCCCACAAAGCATGGGCGGTGAGGAGGTGGGTGCAGTGGCTCAGCAGAGCCCCAGTCTAGGGACTCCACGTTGCATGACTAGAGATTGTGGATGAAGGCATGACACACGCCATGTGGTACCGTAACGAACCACTGACCTTAATCACCACGTCACGCACAAAGCTAAACATGCACAAATATACAGGTACAACTGGAATAGGGTAATACTAAACAGAATTCATATATATTCACACATAATGGTGTGAATATATATGAATGTGTGTGCGTGCATAAATATATGACAAATATTGGGCATCTAAAATGCATCGGTGCAAATCTACTAGGATATATATGCGCCTTAACCTTCTGGATACATGCAGCAGCTACATTTTTCCTGTTAAATACAAGCCAAAGTCAAATTTTAAATTAAATTCAAATTTCGCATGGACGCTTGATAAACAATGGATACACTCGCACAGAGTGTAGTTATTCAAGTTTCTAAACATTATCGGCATCTTTTTTTGTGTTTATACGTCCATGGATGTTTAAGTTTTTTTTCCCTCATTTTCACCGCAGTTAACATGGTTATTAAGACGTTTTTATTATCACATTCTAAGGACAAGAAAGACTTCGTTTCAAAATATTGATATCGAGATGATATCGCCTGGCTTATCATATTTAAGATCGTGATTAAAGCGTTTTGAGACATGACGCAGCGTATGGATAGATGAAGTTGTCCAGTAGCGACGCATTACGCATTTTTAACAAGTCCAGGAATTACGGCAGCGCCACTGCAATATCCTCATCGTCATACATACGCGTAGTTATAACTTCCTATAACAAAACCCGACTCAAACGAGGATCGAGTATCAAAGAGGTGTCACAGCTTTTAGAACAGCGTGTATATTACTTGACAGTTTAAATAATAATTAGTTATAATAAATGATGCTGGTATCCTTTCATTTTTGGCTGATGTGGTACTTTTTGTTCCAGCCGATTGCCACTTCATAGTTCTTCCTTTTACCTTACGTACTGTGTTACATTTTCAGAATTTAATACAACTGCGAATTATTTATTTTTAAAAATAACGTTGTGGAGACCTTAAGTTACGTTAATATTATTGTATTTTTTTCTGGTTGTGTACTGCAGTCTATCCCCTCTATGCACGTGCTAATTACTGCCATGTGCAATTTCTGTTGATAAACATCCCTACCTATATGTTTTAGTGGTGCTGTTGGAGAAGTCTCTCACCCTGTTCAATGTGCTCTCTGACAGCTCGGAGTTGGTGCTCTGTCGCGATCTCTCCGATGACAATCAGCATGTAGTAACTCCGCTGACAGAAAGGTGGTCCCTCATTCAGGTGCTGTCCGAGGTGCTGAACAACCCCGCTCCGCTCTTCGGGCTCCAGATCTCCGCTGATCGCGCCTTGCACCGCTACAGCTATTGCATCCCGGGTTGCGATCTCCATGGCAACATCTCCGCGGGAGGACGCTGGATCCTCTTCTATTTCCATGACAACTTCTGCCACGAGCACTGCGAACCTGGGAGTGGCACGGTGATAAAGTTTGGAACCATCTGGCCTTTGTGATTGGCTAAGGATCGAGGAGACCAGCCTACTGGGGGAGTGTTTGGAAATCGGCGTATCCACCAATCCAAACACAGAGCGTTAACTTTTAGCGAAATGACAATAATCGTTTTGAGTTCTCAGATAATCACCAAATATTTCTCCAGTATTTATAAATATTCTGTGGGTATTACCAAATAAATATAATATTTCAATCATATTTCATGGAACGACAAGTAAAGAACGTAAGTATATCCACCTATACCATATTGATCCTCGTGGGGAAATTCTCTTTACGCTTCCCCCAACTTGCTCTCTGTACTGTAGGTGAGAGCGAGCTAGCTGGGTACGAATGGCACTCATTCACAACTGATGCATAAAAATGTTGAATTATGTTCAGAAATAAGCTGTCAGAATAAGATGTCGAAAACCGAAATACCAAAATGAAATAGGCCTATAGAATTGTTTTGTTCAAAGAAATTTCTACATCTGTGCATTGTAATGTTGCCAAAAATGTGCACGAGCATAGTTACAGTGCAGTCAGCACAAAATCCTACAGCCTGTTCGCCATCGCTGTAAGATGTGTCACAGAATAGCATTAATGACGCATTAGAGGGACCTTATTTGAAAAGGAACTCGCGACGACGTGGTTGTTGTCGCCACGCCTGCCAAACGCATGCAACACTGTTGAGATTTGTATAGTCCTGAGACAACGCGGTTAACCCCAGACCAGCAGCTGGACGAGCTAACTTGAATATATTCTTCTGCTTTGTTTCTGTTTTTTAAAACGAGCCTTACGAGATTAGTTTGCCCCCATCTCAGATTCTCTGCCTAGCTGCTGACGCAGGACTAAACCCTCGATATGCTTTTAATATGTGGATGCTAACTGACTATGGCACTCTTAATCTCAAATAATATGTAAATATCGTGTGAATATATGAGTAAAACTGTGTGTTTTAACTATTTTCTTTTTTTGCCATTGTGCTCGTCTTACTTCTGCACTGTAACAAAATTACATGCATATAAACTTGCCAAGTTAGAGAAATAGCAATGTTGTACCAGTATTGTGTCATGAATGTCAAAGAAAAAAATACAACGTTGGTTATACGTTGTAAAGGCTGGAAAGTACTAGCTATCCTCAGCACAACACGATTGGCTCTATAGAACGTAAACAGGGATTATATTTTATCTGTAAATCATGCCGTGTTATGCAGAGTAAAAATGCAATACTACTGAACTGAAAAACATTTCCAATAGTACATTCTGAATGACAAGGCAGAAAAGCTGTTAACTGAAAGCTGAAACGCGAGATGTAGGAATGTCACCGTCTTTGGCTTTTATGGGAGATGCAGGAGCGATCTGACGCCCGCTCGTGCTCCCCAGTGATCGTATCTGCACTGCAGCAGGCGGCGAAATCCGGGCGATTATCCAAGATTGAGAGGAAAGGCGAGAAAGGAAGAATTATAAAGAGAGAGCCCAAGACAGACGGGGGAAGCAAGGAAGCGAGGCTATAAATAACAGAGGAACGTTCAGAAAATAATAATAATAATAAATGACGGCTACAAAAAAGAAAAAAAAACCGATAAGCGAATACCAAGTTGGCTTTCTATCTAGATTTAATGTGAAGGATATGTCCTGTTATATGATATGGCTTAATATTAGATATGGGGGTTAGAAACTATAAATGTAGGACAGTAATCTAGATCCGTATCCATGCAAAAAGAACAATAATTACTTGATATGTTGTTTTGTATGCCTTTTTTAGATGTTTTTGTTTTGTATGTTTCATCACCCAAGGAACAAAGGGCCTTATTCTTGGCAGCGAATGCAAAGATTTCTGTAATGTGTCCCTCGAAAAAAAATGATAATTGAAGCATTGTTTAATGTAAATGCATCATAACTCTGGGTTGGCCATATCTAATATTTCTGAAAAAGTGAAAGTAATGTACATTTATAAGCATATTCGGAGAGCTTACAAATCGGAGCTATTAGAAATATTTAGGATAAACCTTGAGCAGAACAGTTAAAGGGTGGGACCTCACGTTTTTTAATTAGATCTGGTGAGATTCTCGACCCCGCCCCTGAATACATTTAAAGCGTTTCATTGGCTGCTTGTGGATGTGAGGCAGCTGTGCCAGCGCCTTAATTTTGTGTAATCGATCACATTGGCTCCTCCTCATCGACGCTGCTGTATTTTCTCTGCATTCGTTGCTCGTCTCAGTGAGTCAGCACTCTTGAAAGCCCACAAGACGATCTACTGCCATCTGCTGGAATAACATCGAACTTCGGATATATATTTCCGGTCAAATATTAAGCAGATGATGTAAATTAATGCATGAATCGTTTGTAAATAATTTTAAAAGAATCTAAAAACCATCCAACCAATATACTGTAGAACCGAATAATATACCGCCCTGTCAAGCATCTTTTGTTAATCAGATCAAATCCATAATGCTGCTGATTTGGTGCAATGGACTGGACCTAGTTCATCCATAGTCTACAGTTTGTAACAGTGCAATATACGGACTCCTGAGCATAAAAATCCACCTCATATTTTACACAGTGTTAACTGGCAGGTCACCAGCAGTGGTTATGGTCTCTATTACACCATCATCACACTCAGCAGTGGTTATGGTCTCTATTACAACATCATCACATTCAGCAGTGATTATGGTCTCTATTACAACAAGTATCACACTCAGCAGTGGTTATGGTCTCTATTACATCAGAATCACACTCAGAAGTGGTTATGGTCTCTATTACATCGGGCATCACATTCAGCAGTGATTATGGTCTCTATTACCCCAGCATCACACTCAGCAGTGATTATGGTCTCTATTACACCAGCATCACACTTAGCAGTGGTTATGGTCTCTATTACACCAGTATCACACTCAGAAGTGGTTATGGTCTCTATTACACCAGCATCACATTCAGCAGTGGTTATGGTCTCTATGACACCAGTATCACACTCAGTAGTGCTTATGGTCTCTATTACACCAGCATCACACTAAGCAGTGGTTATGGTCTCTATTACATCAGCATCACACTCAGCAGTGATTATGGTCTCTATTACACCAGCATCACACTCAGCAATGCTTATGGTCTCTATTACACCAGTATCACACTCAGTAGTGCTTATGGTCTTTATTACACCAGCATCACACTCAGCAGTGGTTATGGTCTCTATTACACCAGTATTACACTCAGCAGTGCTTATGGTCTCTATTACACCAGTATCACACTCAGCAGTGCTTATGGTCTCTATTACACCAGCATCACACTCAGCAGTGCTTATGGTCTCTATTACACCAGCATCACACTCAGCAGTGATTATGGTCTCTATTACACCAGTATCACACTCAGCAGTTCTTATGTTCTCTATTACACCAGTATTACACTCAGCAGTGCTTATGGTCTCTATTACACCAGTATCACACTCAGCAATGCTTATGGTCTCTATTACACCAGCATCACACTCAGCAGTGCTTATGGTCTCTATTACATCAGCATCACACTCAGCAGTGGGCCAAACAGGCAGTTACCTAAGATCGAAGAATTTCCTGTGCTGCACAGGAAGTGAAGTGATCATCGGTTTTCCTGGTGGGGGGGATTCCAAAATAAAGCTTTGCCAGGGGCCCCTGAAAAGGTTGAGATGGGGCTGATCGTGGGCAAAGCATGTTTGTACGCGTCAGAATAAATCCCTGATGAAAGGAAATAGCATTGAATAAGTTATTTGAAATGCTGTATGCGGGGGCCTAGTTGGAGATCCTGGTCCCCTGAGAAAATGTCACCTTGGGCTGATTTTGCTCAGCAGGGAGCATTTTGGGTCCCCGGCAAAATGCTGAGCCCCCTGAATCTGTGGGTGTCCAAGCCCCTGCGACGCCCCTTGCCCTATATGTTAAACATTTTTTTAAAATTATTTAATATGCCATATTATTTGAATGATGGCTGATTGGATTGCACTGCGGCCTCATCCTCCAGTGATGTGAGCCCCTAGTGCTGTACTGGGAATCTGCATGCTCTCCACATGTGATGGGGCTCTTCCATTGCCTCTACAGGCATGTGGTTCAGGTGAATTAGTGTTTGGAAACTGCCCTTTTTTGTGTGTATGATTGTGTGTTCTCTGATGGATGCCTTTCCAGACAGGGGGTCTCCCGCCTTCTTCCCAGTGCCTCCTGGGATTGGCTACAGGCTCTCCAGTGATTCTGCATCAGGGTAAAAGCAAGGATTGGCAACATGGCGAAAGTCGGCAATATTCAGCCGCATGTTAAATGATATACTTCATTCTGTTGGTTTGCAATCCCAATTATTAATACATGATTTAAAATATTGCTATTTATAATTAGAATTATAATAGATAGATAGATAGATAGATAGATGCCTGCATGAGAAATTTCAGTAAACATAAAGGTTACAGTGTTACACTATTATTCATATATGTTCCGCAATTTTCCCAGCAGGAGGCACCATGCTCTTTACAAAAACAGGTAGAGTTATTTTTTACAAAACCATGCATAAGCGTTAATTATAGTATTTTAAATCAATATGATAAGATACGTAACGAAATATAAGCATGTGGACAAAAACCTATTGTTGGGGTTAGGGGATCTATTTTGTTGCCAGATAGCTGCAATTGTGGATAGAAGTAAATCAAGTGACTTAATTTACTTAATTTACTGTTGTTCAAAACTCAGTTTGACTTTCTTAATGACGTCATATTTTCTCAAGGGCTTTTCCCTATTCATTTTGATATGATTTTATTTTATTTTAAAATATTTAAAATAATATTCATTTTAGAACTAATATATCAATCTGTAATATTACAGTCGACATTAATTTACAGTTAATTATACTTTAAAACACCTACAGAGCATGGTAAAAAAAAAAGTTTGAGCACTAAACCATTCAACGCCATAATTCATAAAGATCCTTGGAAACAAGAAAGGGATGCCTCTGTCACCATAGCAACCTTTCAGATTATATCATGTATAAAACATTTAGATTATTCAGAATCGGTGATTTTACGCTACACATTTGTATCTTAGCTCTGTGATATCGTGAATTATTATTTGTTATTTCAATAGTGTCGTTTTAAAGGGTACTTTGTTTCACTGCATAGGCACAACAGTGGCTCACAAATCTCCGTTATTGGACAAAAGAAGCGAAAACAATTTAACAGGCTTTTATGTTTTGTATGTGGCCTTAGCTTTTGAATTGTCTGGCAAAATAAATAAATAAATGAATGAAGCCGACGTTGGTCTTGCCCACAGTCACGTCTTTTCTGATGGGCTTTTGGTACGTAGGGATGAGACAACGACTCATTTATATGTTAATTGGAAACCAACAATAGATTTTTCCGAATAATAAACCACGGTTGTATATATATTAAATAGATCCACACAGGGAAAACTGTACATAGAGTACATTTCGGAACAAAATTCTGAGTTTATAACGCCTGGTTGTCGTTCCTCTTAGGTCTGTTGGCTGTCCTGTCTCACAATAAATCTTGAATTTGCAAGACGTGACAACATACGGGCTGTTATAAACAAGGCAGCCGCATACTCACACATCAAAAAATGCCATTGCATCTTTAAGTGGCTCTCATGTATCCCACACCCAAGAGTAGCTAGGAGGGAGAGAGAGACGAGAGAGAGAGGCACTGCTGTTCAAGCCAGTTGCAGCCGGGAAGCAAAATTAATACAGACATTGTATTAAAGTAACAATCGGCACTGAAGGAACGATAACCTACTCTGCTTAAAACCATATTAACTTTTTTTCAAAGGTAAGCGAAGCCATCGTGTTTAGATGAATATATGCTTATTGTCGTTAGATTGTTTAAAGATTTATTCGGATTTATGTTCAAGGACGACTGCGATTTCAAACTGATTCCTCTATAAAACCGATATTTTCCTTCTTTTATCTTATACGCATTTCATGATTTGGGTGTCAACTACATAGACGAAGTCCGTTTTCAGTAGCCTACTGACTGCATGGATACACGATAGGATGCACTGTAGGCTATACCTTTTATAATTATGTGCGCTACATCACACGGATAGTTTCTAAAATTATTCTCTTGTTCAAGCAGGTCAGGTCTGTGTTTCGGGCGTGGGGTAAACTTGTTCAGTCCTCAAAATGAAAGCACAGACGGTAGCCTATTTGCATTGTTAGTATAGTTAGTATAGTAGCTTTGGGCAGCTGAGTCATGTTTATGATATGTTCTTAAGTAACGATTTTGTGCCAATTTCTCTGGATTTTATCCCCACCCTCCACCCAACCCCCCATATTTTCTCTGCTGTTAAAAGGGTGGCTCAAGGATGTAAACATGGTTGTTGGTAATACTGGGGGCACCACGCACGTAAAACCACACTGACGTGAACTTTGATATTTTTCAAGGACTGGGTGATGAAGCGAGGGGTGATGACCCGGCGTTACCTCGCCCACGCCTCGTCTAATTTAATCGAGGCCTTATTATTTCGAAATTATATAATCCATTCCAGTGGTTCCAAGACTTAATACGAATTCGGAGGCACAATTGTTTGAATTTTATGGTGTGTCCAGGTGTAGCTGCTTATTAGTATGCGGACCGCATCGATGATGTTAACAATCATCTATCATCTATCTGTTGACTGACTGTTATACAAAAAAGGAAGACGATCCGTCACCTTCATGATCTTATGTTCACTTTACCGTTGTTGCTCTCGTACCTCATGAGGATATTCATTTTCTGCAGTGCATGTATTTTTGCTAAAGGAATCTTTAATTTAGCGAGAAAGTATATTGCTTCTTTGTTTTTCTGTTCAATTTGAAATAATTGTTCAGATGTTTCCCTTATTTGGTGAAGCTGAATTTGATATTAATTGCATGTAAAAACGAGTGGATTTAACTACTGAGTTAACTAATGACTCTTTTTTTTACCTATATTGGCATCCATACTATACTTTTGTAGTATTGTTATATGTAGGCCAGTTCTCGTCTGTATTTATATTAGTTAGTTCATCCATCAATCCATCCATCTTCTAACCCTTTATCTCGGTAAGGGTTTCAGGAGTTGTTAATTTATTTAATTGTAAATACTCATTAAATAGATTTTTTAAATTACATTTACGCATATTTCTTTAACAATAGCACAAATTAAGTTATGATGCATTAACTAAAGAAATGTTCTGTACCAGCTGTATATAGCTTATTTAATATGTTGGTATCTATAAAAGTAAGTGTGCAGTTTGCTCCTGGGTTCTCTTGCAGCCAAAAAATAAGTTAAAGTTTAAGTTAAAGAACCTGTATTTTCAGTATTATTTGCAAAACCAGGGCATAACCTTTTCATGGTTTGATTAACGATGTATTTCTATTGTATTTGGGGAATGTATGAAAACAACTCGATCCAAGATTTGTTGCCATAGTAACATATGGTACCTAAATTGCGTGGCTCTTGGTACAATCTAAGCAAAAGCGACTAGATTGAACAATTTTAGTGCAGTTATCTAATAATTGGCATCACACAGACAGTTATCTACCTTGTATTTATTTTTATTTTATGCTTCACCGAGACGTACCGTGATAATGTATAATTAACCCATAAATATTTTTTTCTTCAATTTTGTTAGGACGATGATTATCATTAGGTGATACTAAATCCCACAGAACCTACTAGCACTGTAATAATCCGTCCCCGTATACAGGTCTGATTTTTAAGGCTTAACCGACAGTACATTAACTTAAATTGTCGCTGATGTTATGGGAGATACTTGGATTTCCGGGAGGAGGACTGAATTTTGCTATATCAGGGGACGAGAAATAAAATGCGTAACATACACCATTTGTTCGGTAAAAGTGAAAAAGGAATGTGTATAGCGCTGGCTGAATGGCTCAGGAAAATACAGTACAATGTTTCCTTCTCTATTGTTCCACTCGGAAGAGTCGGACTTAAGAAACGTGAACCTGCGCCCCCGCTGGTGAAGAGGTTCCGTCCCAGGCCAATAAACGCGAGAGTTTTTCAAGACGAAAGCCAATCAGAAGGCGAGGAAGTTTTTGTGACGCGTAGGAGCCTGGTGCCGCGGCCTATCACAGCGCACAGTGCCAGGCTCCTTTGCCGCGAAGACGGCCGAAGGTAAAAAATGGAGCTTGAGGTCGCACGTTTGTAGCTGGCGATGCAGCGGTTATTTGTTTCCTAATGGAATGGACTTGGTATGCATCGGGATGGTTTACTTTGCTCAGAAACTACTAACGAGCTGACTGGGTCGTGCCATTGGGGAGTTTTTGCAAGCCATAGACGATGAAAATCGCTAGATAGCTGCTCGATTTCAACATGTCTGTCTTAACTGTTTGTGGCAAGATCGGTCGTCCAGACATTGACGGACAACACCAAGGCAAATGGGGAGGTTGTGCTGATGGTGGTTTGGCTTATGTGTGAGCGAGTTTGTGACTCTTTTGCATTTTATTTTATTTTGCGTTAGAACAATAGTTAACTAAATGCCTTAGGGAAGGGGATAGTTGTGTGTGTGTGTGTGTGTGTGTGTGTGTGTGTGTGTGTGTGTGTGTGTGTGTGTGTGGGGGGGGTATATAGCTTGGTGGTGTGGTGGAGGTCGCATATTTTTAGATGCACGTTGGAAATTCGCTCATTTATACTGGAAATACCCACAACTTGCTTTCCACGTTGGTTTTGTTGTTTTCATTTTATGCATATGGGTTGCAAACATACGTAACTTGGTTGATAAAGTTCGCTATACCTCACTTCCTGATGCACGTTGCATTGAAAGCTGTATTGACTACTAATCGCCATGTTAGTTGACGCAGCATAAGATAAGTTCCCGTGTTGTTGTTTTGAACGTTGCCTGGGCAGGTTGGTTCCAAATAGTGTTAACGACACTGGTGAACCAAAGTCACTGACCGAAGTTCCGCCGAGTTAAACTCTATAAAGATACATATTTGTATTAGTTGGGGGGGGGGAACTGTGATGCCTAGTTTGGCTCATTTAGCTCTACAAGTGCCTATCGAAGTGGCAGTCCTGGAGCTAAAACAATAGGCTGCTCTTTCTCAAACCCTGTTCTTTGGGGTGTCTCGGTAGGTGTTTGTTTACAATACCAACAAGGAAGAAAGGCTGGCCTTTGTGGGGCTGGGCTATTTTTAGAGAGTCTGCTCTGCCTTAGTTCTTCTTTTGAAGTGTCTCTCTCTCTTGCTTACTACTTGTGATCGCAGGTGTTCCGTGGCGGTGTCAGCCGAAAGTGGACAGTACAACATCTGGCTTCAGTCACATCCGCATGGATCCGGGAGGAAGTGATCTGGAGCCTGACTTGTCTCAGCTGGACAACCCCTGCCTAATCGTAGAGGACTCCCAGCCGGACAGCGCCGCCCTAGAGGAGGACCCGGACAGCAGCTATCGTGCCCTTCTGACCCGTCGCCTCTCCAGCCTGCAGCCCACCTCTCACAGTCCTGTTCTGGTCAGTTGGTTGGCAGACAAGGGCCAGTCCATCACAGTACTTGTATAGTTCCTGAAAGCTGTAATTGTGAGAAAGCTTAATATACACTGCAGAGAATTTCTGCACGCATTGACCAGCAAACTTGCTGCCTCTAAGCCCAGTTAATAAATTTCCCATGTATGCTTACAAGGTCATACGCACAAACCCTTCTGTACGTACTACCCTTGTCCATGGATGTAGATGGTTTGAATTGGATTCAAACTTTAATTGCCAGTGCAACAAATACAGAAGTACAAGTACATTGGTATTCTTGCACGGTTCCCTTCAGTCAAATTAAAACCACACAGCAGTGATATTCCACCAGAGCAGGACAGGGCAGACGTATTGCAACAAAACACAAAAACAAGCAGTGTAGTGAAATGGGTAAACCTGTATGAACAGTTTAGAAGTTGCTAGGCTGGGACCTCCTCATATAGCTGCTCACCATAGTAGTTATAGTTCTCTACTTCTACTTTTTTTCATTTACCTCTGCTGTGTGAAAGTCAGTGCTGCCACCTACTGGAACCACCCAGTCAGTTTCCTTGCACATTTGCACAGATGCCTAATGTCCATCAGACTGAATCTGCGCTGCGAGCACACAGTTTGTCAAACGACCTGTATGACAAAATTTATGACACGCCAGAAGCGCTTGTGGAAAAGTGAAGTATGAATTGGCCTTTAGCCCCATAATTGCATAAAAATGGCCCTCACCTACACCCCATGTAACGTGCTGTTTGTGCAGGTGCCATGTTAATATTCCTACACTGCCTGTGGTCTATGTATGTGGGGTACTATGGGCCGTGATGGCTGTGGGCAGTGGTGGCTTAATGGTTAGGGACACGCACTTGTAATTGGAAGGTTGCAGGTTCAAATCCCCGACCAGCAAGATACCACTGAGGTATCCTGGGAAGGCACTGCTGCCCGGTCACTGAATTAGCTGCCCCCTGCCATGTCACATATGGGTTAAATGCAGAGGACACATTTTGTCATTGTGTGTCAATGTTCTCTCTGTGGATCCTGTGATGGACTGATGTGTCTTTGACAGGTATCCAGCTGATCTGTGCGTTCTTGGGTTACCATCATGCTTATTGTAACCCTACATTACCTAATCAGTTAAGAGAACGGATGGTGGTGGTTGAGTGTCTTTGAAGTCACAATAGGTGTGTTGTATGTGTTTCTATAGTATGTATACTGAAACGTAGCCTCCTGTGCATGTCACTAGATTTTCAGCTCTTCCAAATGCATGTCTGACCGCTGTCTGGCACTAATTTTGTTGCAACTAGGAGCTGATATCGTCGCCGGCTGGAAGCAGGTGTTCGCAGATCGACAGCCAATCAGCAGTGGCACAGAGCAACAGGCCGCACAGCCCAGGTGGGAGGGGGGGGCCTTCTCGTCTTCACTGCGGGCGCTGTCGGGTTTCTTTTCTGACGTGCTTCTTTTTTTCTAGCCACAATGGAGTCGTCCTCTGCTCAGGAGGCCAGTCAGGTTGTTGAAGTAGCCCCGCCCACCATTCGGAAAAGGTCAGCACGTCGCCGTCACGCCCGGAAATTACGCAGCTTGGCTTTTTATTATCCCTCTGCTATTGTACGGGTCTTAAACCCAAAGCACTTAATCTCCCAATAAACATTTGTAAGCTGTTCATAGTTGGGAAATTTCCTGACAAATCCCACACAGTCGCTCCTTGGGCCGTCCTGTGCCAGACACAGCGCCCACTGCTTCCCATAAATCATGGGCACAGTCGCAGTCACTGGTGCCACGCTGCGCGATTCCCCCAGTTGGGACGCAGACACATGCTGTCACATGGTGGAGGCTTTCAGTAACTGAAGAGCTTCACGGCTGTTAGCGCTGCGTGTCACATTTTTAATTCTGCAGAATCAGATGCGAGGTAAACAGTCTGCAGTGTAGCAAAGAGTCTAGAGTTGCAGAAAAGCCCTGTTCCAAGGGTGGTATTTGCCTTTGCTGGATGATATTTAAACTTGACTGAATTTTGTGTGAAGGTGGGGGGGGGGGAGGTAGTTAGCAGTCCTGAAGGGATCTGAGCTCTCTCTCTCTTGCTCGCTCTTTCTCTCTTGCTCGCTCTTTCTCTCTTGCTCGCTCTTTCTCTCTTGCTCGCTCTTTCTCTCTTGCTCTCTCTCTCTCTCTCGCTATCTATCTTTCAGAGATCTGCCAGCTGCCAACGGCAGACAGTCAGAGGAGGGCATGGAGATGGAGAGTAGAGCGGATTCCACCACCCACTGTGTCCAATCAGAAGGTAGTTAAGACTCTCAAACTCCATTTCAGAAGGGCTGTGTCTGTTTGCTTTTTGTTTTTAATCATGTTTTCCATTCCATCATACTCAAATCTAACTGTCAGATCCAGTAGAATCTAAAATACCAAATTAACAGAGATAATGGAGTAATTCAGGGGAACCTGCGTATGCACTCCCCTTAGACTTCTGTGTTCTTACTTCCTGTGAAGCTGTGATTGGTTGCAACGTTGGGCAGGTGATGCTTGAAGAGTGTATTGTGCGTGTGTTGGGGGTGTGGGGGATGGGGGGGGGTCAAATGTATATATTACATTGTGGGGATAAAATGTTCCTACTTTGTGATGAAAAGCTGTTATTTTGACCTTGTGGGGGCATTGCCAAAAATGCCAGAAGTCAAATATTTTGTTTGGTTACTCCTGGATAAGGTTTCGGCTAGATGGGGGTTACGGCTGATCTGGCTATCATTAGGATTGTGCCTATAGAAATGAATGGAGAGTCCCCACAAGGGTGTAGATATCTAATTCGGTGTGTGTGTGTGTGCGCGCGTGCGCTCAGGTGGGGATTGTTTCGGCTTCCTCGAGCTGTCGGAATCTCAGACAGTTGACGGTGGGCTGGACGCCGAAGCCCCTGCGGCCGGTCGGGGGCCTTCGCTGGGAGGTCAGTGCCGCTTCTCTTCCCCCTGTCAGTGCCGCTTCTCTTCCCCCTGTCAGTGCTGCTTCTCTTCCCCCTGTCAGTGCCGCGGAACCCAGCCGACTCACTCACTCCGGTGTTTTTGCTAAACTGTGTTAAGGAGCGGAGCAGAGCCGTGCGGAGGGTGACGCCGCTGACGACCAGGGCAGCGCGTCCAGACGGTAACCTCCTCTCCCGTGTCTCTCCCTCCTGTTCCTGCTCGCCGTCTCGTCCTAATTGCCTGTGGCTACCGCTGTTCACAGCCGGCATTTCGCTGTTTCCTCCTGCTCTGATAAAGGCTTTGTAGTGTTTTTTTTGTGCCCTCTACAGCGCCGGCCTTCATGGGTGTGGTGCAGGTTACTCTGTAGGGGGTGACAGGGTGTTTCTGGCTCTGGGAACATGTTCTCCCCCACGCTCGTCCAGGTCGGAGGTGAGCTCCAGCTGTACGGAGGGGTCGGCGAGGAGCGTCCAGGAGCCACGGAACGATCAGGGCCTGGAGCCCCAGGAAGTCCAGCAGCCGGAGGACGACTCTGATGTGCCGTCCTCCCAGGATGACATGTTCGAGGTGGAGAGAGGTGGTATGTGCGATTCTGCCCTACTGGTGAATTCTGCTTGGACTGGGACACATGTTTGATGCCCCCGCAGTTTGACGTCTTTTTTTTTTTTAACCTAAATCACACATGCATGCACCCCCCTCTCCCATTTCTCTGCCAGACGCCACAGGAGTGGACAGCACGGTACCCGAAGCAGGACTCTGCCTGCTACCAACGGCAACCCCAGCAAGCAGCCTGCACCTTCTGCATCTGTCAGGCCAGGGCACGCTGGTGCAGGAGAGCCTCTCCCAGTAAGATAAACGTCAGCAGCTGCACTGGCAAAGCTGGGGCATGGAAAAAACAGGAAGTGGTGCTGCTGTGACCACATGATGTTCACCACTGCAGTCGTTCTCTCTCTCCCTCTCGCTCTGTCGTTCTCTCTCTCCCTCTCGCTCTGTCGTTCTCTCTCTCCCTCTCGCTCTGTCGTTCTCTCTCTCACTCAGGAACTCTGTGGAATTTGTGGCTCCTACTCAGGATGGTTTGAGTCAGACGCCTCTAATTGTGCCGAACTCACCCACAGATGAAGGTAATTCATCATTGTTATGGGAGAATAATGACTCTCCGTGACGGGGGTGGCAGATGTCACTTGCAGGGTGGTGGTTTGGAGAGTCAATCGCATTCTCTCACACCTGGGTGGGGGTCTTGTACAGTGCTGGTCAGCTGGTGGTCCCTCTAGTGAGTGTGCGTGGGTGGCGGGAATTTTGTCACAAAAATGGGCATGAGGACGACAGCGCGCACCTCAGCCCGCCTCCAAGTCACATTGCAGCCGGATGCCTCTTTGTGATTCTTACAGCTGTCGAGGAACCCATGGACACGTCGCTGCCTCCGGATGAGCCTCGGTCCTGTCACCGAGAGGAAGAGCCCATGGAAATGGATCAGGCCCCTTCCCAGTCCAGCGGCATCCCCAGGCCGGTTCCAGCCGCATCCACACCACTGTCCCAGAATTCTCCGGGCTTTGTGCTGGAGAAAAGCCTCTCTATGCCAAGCCAGCCTGACTTTTCACATGTACGTCTGTGTGCTGCTCTTCCTGACCATCCTGCAGCCGGCCACCTTCTGGGGTTTGAACCAGCAGACTCTGGGTTATAGTTCCATATTTTTAACCAGAGCTGACTGTGCTAGTCCTGTTTTGCATCTTATAAGAGATGAAAATGTGGGTGTTCTTTTTTTAAACAGGATGTGTTTGTCCCAACACTGAGCCAGGGAGACGGAAAAAGCAGCACAGGACCCGAGACGCTGATGGAGAAGGTTTCCCCGGCAACAAGCAAGGCGACGCCCAGTGAGCAGGAAGCCGGCATCGCCGGGCGCTCTCAGCCCAGCCTGTGCCTTGAGCTGCCTACAAGCAGCGCCCTCCTCGAGCCGGTGCCGGAACAGGAGGGGGAGCAGCTGGAGGACAGTCAGGCCACCCAGATAGAGGAGCCCCTGGGGGTCGTTGGGTCTGTACCCACCGTGGATCAGCAGGAGGAAGCCGGTGATCCTCCGACACGTCCTCCAAATCAGCCGGATGGTACCACGGCACCTGCCACAATCAGGCCCGACGGCAAGGAAACGAGGAGATCCACAGACGACCGCGCACGGGAGCCACCCTC